CAACACGTCATGGAATGGAACTTATCCCACAGAAGAAGGACACTCAAAGGTCAACTACGCATCATCCTCCCAGGGATCATTGTATGGCAAATTTGGAAGGAATACAATAGAATAATCCACGACAATGGTTTCATTAACATCAACAAGGTTCGCTACAAAATTCTAAATACACTGAAGGATTGGAGCTGGAAAAATAGACGGAAAAAATGGATGCTAAGGGATAATAATCTAGCAAACCTGGGTTTCAATTTCTTCTTCTTGTCTGGGAAAGAATTGAAAGGAAGAGTTCCTGCGCTTTAGATCGACCCACAGAGGAATGGTGAATGCTCGTATCGCAGAGGAGAGGGCTAACTTCCAAGTTTCCTGGAGTGAGTACGAGGATAGATGGACATCTAGATTTGGTACTATGTAAGAGTTTAAGCTTTTGTCCTTCTTGGTGCTACCTTTCCTTTTCTTTGGATTTTGTGTTTCTTGTATTATTCCTTACTTTCGGGGTTAGGTCAGGTCCCCCGAACGTGTTTTGAATGTTTACTTTCGGAGCTTTGGTCTAGTCCTCTCCGAACGTGTACTAAAATAGTTTATTTAATAATACTTGGTAAGGGCTGCCTGGACCTTACCCCACCGCAATTGGTGGATTTTCAGGTTAATATATATATATATATATATATATATATATATATATATATATATATAGACACACACACACACACACATAGGGGACGGTTCAGGTGAGAATGCATCTTGGTGAAAGAAATAAGAATAAAATCTAGCCTTTGGATCTGATGCATCGTGCGGCTCAGATTGCATCCTGCACTCAGATTTTGAGATAGTGCATTTTTAAAGGATTTTGGTGCATTTCGACATGATGCATTTTCAAATCATTTTGGTGCACCTAATTTTGATGCAATCCTGATCCTTAGATTTCACAATCTAAAACACCAGATTCATTCTTATTTCTTTCATAAGATTGCATTCTTACCTGAACCAAAATATATATATATATATATATATATATATATATATATATATATATATATATATATATATATATATATATATATATATATATATATATTCCACAAAACCGTTTTTCTCGGATACCAAATTGTAACACCCGCCTCCTGTGGACTCGGTTCACCCGTGACCCAACGGACCGGTAGGGTTACGTGGGCGGTCCGAGAACCATCCGAAGGGAAAACATTAATGTCAATTTATTATGAAAACGGTTGTGTTTAATTGGTGAAATAGATGCTAGGGAGTTATCCCCGAAACATGTGTGATATAAATGCAGAGTAAAGCGGAAGTAAATAAGTCTAGTCCAAAATAAGTAAAACAACATGTGGTGGGTTCATGCCCAAATGGTTAATTAATTAAATGTATATAAATATTAAACTCGTCCATGCACCGCCCATCTTCCCATCATCACTGTCCTCCAGGGTTAGCACCTGTACCGTCATGTCTACCTACGTGTAGCAAAAACAACTACGCGCTCAACAAAAGCTGAGGAGTGAATCTAACAAAAGAACATAAAGTGATAATCCATATGGTTATACACATATTAATATCTGTACTTAGCGTATGGAAAACCACATGTTTACTAACTTCTCAGTTTGCACCCGTTGGATCCCAAAGGGCCCTGGACGGGCCCACTGTAGTAGGCGCACGGAAGCCTGACCTCCCTACAGCGGTATGCACATGATGGAAAACCTAGGACATGCGTCTAGAATGAATGTGATGAATGCTTGATATATTTACCTTTGATCAACGCCAAGAATATATCAATTAAATAACATACATACTAAAGGTTAACATTTCATGCAAACATACAATCAGATTCTAGGCTAATATGGTTAACAGGGCTCGTTCTACAAACTGCCCGAAAATCTACCCGCGGAACGGTCGACCGTACCCTAACAGCGGTCGACCGTGGGCTACGGCCTGGGTCTGGGTCACAGACGGTCCACCTTGGTCATCCGTTGCGGTCGGCGGTCGACCGTCACGATGGTGACCGTCGAATTGGCTGACGTTACGGTCCACCGTCCAAAGCGACGGTCGACCATCCCGATGACAATCTTCTGTCTTTGGCTACGTTTGATTCATTTTGCAAACTTAATACCCTGATTCTTTTCAGAGCAATACTACAAACATTGGTGAATATATTTCTAGTGATTCCTAGGCCAATATATATATATAAGTTTTACGTAGTGAACGTTTTGATGGCTAACCTACGAACATGCATAGATTCTACGTAGGTTGCGTACGATATTTCTATGAATATAACGACATAGAATATAACTAAATGTTCTAGAATTAGAGGGGACAACCACTCACCTCTAAATGATGCGTTGAAACTACGGAGATGACGAAAGAATCGATGAACGACGACTATGCTTCACACGAATGGCCTAGCTCTTCTCCTCCTCCTTCCCAACCGTGCACCCACCGGAGCTTCGCCGGAGACCTTCCCTGGGCTGCTGCCTTGGCCGAACATGAGAGGGAATTGTGAGGGTGTGGGATTTATGGAATGGGAGTTACAAATTGCTTAGGAAATGAAGGGGGAAGAGCTATTATAATGATGAAGAGTGATGTAGAATTTATAGGGGGAATGAATGTGGATAAATGGATGGTATGGAGAGGGGAGTGGCGTGTAAGCATAAATGGGGAATTAATTCCCTAAATTTTACTCCGTTATGTAAAATCTGACATGAACGGTACGCGGTTTCTGTAACACCCTAATCCGTCCAGGTCTACAGCCCCTTTCGGACTAAAGTATTAACTTGGTAATCGTAAAAATTTAAAACATTTTAACATCTTTATTTATCATAAAATAATATTCCATTCATAACAGTAATAAATTACGGAGTTTTTAACCATAATGCGGAAGCAATTTAAATCATGTCTCATAACAATTTAATTTAATCATTTTAAATCATAAATCCACCACGATCGCCTCGCCCCTTCTGCTGCCAGGAACATGTCAACTACTCGTTCTGCCTACCTGCGTGTAGCAAATAAAACACACTACACGCTCAGCGGTGAAGCTGAGTAAGCATATCTAAAGCGTCGAACATCCACATAAATTGAATCCAAATTCATAATCAAATCATTTGATATCATGCACAGAGTATTCAATAATCAATATTCAACATTCGTCATTCAATATTCATATTCAACATTCAACATCCTCATTCAATAATATCCTTA